AAATGTGAATGAAGTAAGTTTTCGTTTATTTCTTCCTGTTTATACCTGGAACTCGAGTACTCATTAAACTTGGCTGTTATATTTATTTTAATTTATATGTGTGTGTATATATAAACACAGAAATTGACATTTTAAGTTAAAACCCGGCTTATACTCTAGTGCAAGGATAAGAAACCCTTACTTTATCAGGTAGGGGAAAGCATTGACTTACGTTTCTGGTGAAGTCTAGCAGATTTTTTTTTTCCCCATTTTTTTAATATTTAAATTATGGATATAATGATATGGTTTGCAGCTTTTTTATTTTTAGCTTAAGATTGCTTACAAAAAAAAAATGCACTTTTTAAGCTAGAACTAATAAAATAAAACTCCTATGGATGGTGCATGAACTCACGTATTTAATAAAATTGTCTGTTTCATTCATTTTAATTTATTATTTAATTTTTTTCATATTAATTTATGTATATATAAATATATATATATATGTATATATAATATATATCCTTTATTTATTATTTTCAAGATTATATTTATCAATTTTATTTAAGATAATGAATCAATATTGTAAAAGTAATAACTTTTTTTTTTTAATATATTACCAGCACTCTTGCTCAACTCCACTGGGTTTAGCCCCAGTGACGCGATTGAGAGAGAAGTGCAGGGATCTCCTGGAGTCATGCTTTTCCACAGTTGGAGGGACAAGTTTGGTTTGGCGTTCTCTCGCCAGATTGTAAATATTGTACGTATGTGTTCTTTTTATTAATTTATTTTTAGGTTATTTTATTCTTATTTATTGTATATATATTATTTTCCTGTATAATTTATTTTATTTATTGTACATGGAGTGTGAATGTGATCTGTGAACACTATTGTAAATGTCCTTCAGAAAGATTGTAATATGTTTCAATAAATAAGTTAATATATAAAATATTATTATTAACATTACTTTTGTCTTCAAACTTTTTTTTTTTTAAGCTGAAATTCGGTTTTTAATTCTTTTGTTACATTGTATTGGCATATAAACTTACCAATTCTGATTTTTGTCGTCATGGTCAATTTTTACCATTTAATTTCTTCTTCTTGAAGCCATAATAATACTAATCAACTAGTTTTAACCTAATACTATTCTCCCATCTACTTCTTGCCTCCCTCATCTTTGACATTTTCCAATTGGTTCAGTGATCTAATAATTTTTTCGTTAATTGTCTAGCTCAAGCCCTAGTACTTTACTTGCCCATTACTAGCTTTGTAGAAAGTGCTTCTATTTAACAGAGTATAATTACATTTTTCGAAAAAAATAAGTGAAAGGCTGTCAATCTGCTTAGTAGTTAAGATTTCAGTCCAACTTATAGTTTTCAATCACTTAACCTCAAAAAAAAAATGTTACCTGTTTGTTTGGGCATTGGAGTTAGAGAGAAACAACATACAACAGGACAAATTTCGTTCGAAGAACGGTCACCAAGTAAAAATGTTTAATTGAGGAAATAAAATAAATATTATTTTTTAAATACTTTTCTTGTCATGGTTGTCATTCCTGACCATTTGTTTCTCAACATAATGATCAACTATGAATTAATCAATAATAATGTACTAATATTTTCAACAATTATTACCTTATTGGTTATACGTTGGAAAATATATACTTAGGATGGTATTTAGCTTTTTTTTTTTTTTTTTTTTTTTAGCTAAATATTTTCGGTGGCAGTTGGCTCGTTTTAAAGCCCTGCCTCCGTGTTTGCAAAGATACAAATGCTCATCATATATGTTTCATTTATTTGTTTTTCATTGATTAATCAAAGTTGTGCCATCACCTGACACACACTTAGGTATGACTGTGTTTTTATGTTTTTTAATTTACTTATCTTTAGGTTATTTTATTTTTTTTACTGTGCATAGTTTTTGATTATTATTTTACTTTTTTATTAATTTTACATTTTCTGGATATATGGTGTGAATGTGTTCATGTATTCACTATATACTATTGTTCCTGTGACAGATTGTTATAATTCTCAAAAAATAAATTTTTGAAAAATTGTTTTAAAATATCTAAAACAATTTTTTTGCTATTAACGTTATTGTAATCACGTCCAATTCTTTGAAATATTCACATAAAGTAATTTAATATTAAATCACAAAAATGAATACATTTATAAAGACCATAAATGCTTATTAGTGTATATGGGAATGTCTTGCTTTGACTACTTTAATAATATTCATAATTATTATTGTTATAAACTTGTTAATAAAAAATCTGGTAATTAAAAATTAAGTTTGAGTTTTGACATATTAGTGTTAAAAAAATCATAAATGCAAATAAATCACATAATTTTCCATACAGAAGTGAAACTCTAATATGCAACATATCTCACCTAAATTGATATTAATTAATTTATTTGATCAGTTTAATCTTAGATTGGAGCATATTAAACCAGGTAATTTTTGTAAGAGTGGTTTGGTATCTTTAGTACTGTTGCCGGATGTTAAAAACATAATACTAATCATTTATGGCACATTCAATTCCTTTTCTGTTCGAAATCGGCGCATGTGCCAAATGAACTTTTCGACTGGAAATTTTGCCTGGAGTCATTTTTTAGTGTTGGGCTTTTAAGAACCGTGTATTTTTAAGAACCTTTATATGTGAATGTCTGCTTGAATAATAGGATCGTAATATTTTCGTACCAGTAAACAATTCGATAAACAAAATTTGTTAACTAAATATTAAGTTTTAACATTTTTGAAAAATATGTAAAGGTTTCATATATTCTCATTCAATGCCTGTTTAATTCTATCAATCACCCATATGAAAAAAATGTAATATTAATTTATAAAAATAAATATCTTTATAAAATTTATTATTAAATATAGTTTTGAAATTTTTAAGTTACAAAAAAAACTAAATAAATCATAAATTCTCATAAGTAAATATGTGTAATATTCATAATCATTCCGCTTGTTTAATGTTTGTAACAGTAAAGATTATAAAAAAATCTGTTAAATTAAAGTAAAATTTATTTTAATACTGGCAAATGAAGTCTTTATAAATAATGTATAGAATGATAACAACTAGAATTAATAAAATAATAAATATTTTTTATAGATCCTAATAACTTGTGAATTATATATATTTCAAATATTTGAAAACAGACTTATTTTATTTACGTTTAGTCCCTTTTTTTTTAGGAATTATTATTAATGATTTTATCTGATTTGTTTTTAACCATAATTCGAAGTTTATTGTATAAATTAAATAGCCAAAACTTTTTTTTTTTTAAATGTATACTCTATATAAAATTATTCATATAGTTTCATCTTCTATTGATTATAATAAATGCTTTATATATATATATATATATATATATATATATATATATATATATATATATATATATATATATATATATATATATCAGTTTTTCGAGTTTTAATACCTCTTTCTCAAAATCTTCTTAAACAATAATTGATTGGCTTGTAAACTCTCGAAGTTTCAAAAAAAAAATAATTAAAAATTATATACAAATATAACAAAGTTCAGTTATTAGGTGCTATTAAGTAGTAAGTAGTTTTTATTTTAAATATTTAATAGTTTTAACTATTTTGGTTTATTCCTTTATTGTTTTCTATGATGAGCCCTTCTTGTTACCGATGTTATCAAAATATAATTTATTATTTTATATTAGATAGACAAAATAATTAAACAACTGGAAAACTCCATAGTCAATTATTCATATAATTGACTATATTATTATGGTATTACTCCTCGCTTACAACAAGTTCATTTTATTTTATCATTTTCTAACATTTATGTAGAGTTTCTTCTATTTTTTCGTATTTACAACTAAATATATATATATTGTCATTTTTTTTTTAAATTCGTTTATTTGGCTATGAAACTAGGTTTTGTTACAATCTCGGAGACTACGTAACTTTGATAACAATAGTAATTGTACAAAGGTCTGCTCTCAATGGAATTAGTTCCCTATAAAACGGATATAATATTTAAATTTAAATATGTATAAATCAGAAGACAATGTATTTATAAATGTCAGAAAGTGAGAAAAGATATATGAACTTAGATCATATGTCTAGTCGCATTAATAATTTATAAAAGATAAGTTCACAATGTGAGTAATTTTAGGAAATATTACAATTTTTTCTTCTATTTTGGATACAAATTTGTCTACTGTTTTTGATTTATAAAATATATAACTATGTGATTTATATTCCCAAATAAAACAGTAAGAATGTATTTAGACTAGAATGGGTGATTTATCTTACTTGACATCTTATTTTTATTTACACTGATCAAATGCATCATTTGAATATCAATTTGTATTGTAATGGTAATAATAAAAATAATACGTTTTACTTGGTTTACCTGTGATAATCCAGATAAGAGAAAGTGAGGCCAGGTAATAATAATCCAGACATACTTCCTTCAGGTAGTAGTGTAAGCTGTTTAGATTAATTCTGGAACTCGGGAACAGGTTTCCAGTTTGTAAACAAAGCTTTACCTCTTGATTTTAAAGTTCATTTTTTTATTATATTATTATATCAAACAACATGCACTTACTGATTTTAATCAAGTTTAAATAATATTCATATATGAAATAAAAGTGAATTATCTGAATTTAATCTCTCTAAATATTGTATCAAGTTTTTTGGTTAAATAATCTTATACACTATAATGGGTAAAACATTAAAAAAAAACACAGATTTTTTTTAAACTTGTCCTTTCGGTTTATTAATTTTTTTATTACTTTTTATGACTTTATCAAACCTAGTTAACAAAAAAAACAAGTTATTTAAAACAAATATTGCTTTGGAACAAGAACAAAAACACTGTACACAAAATGTTACAATTTCTTCCATTATAATCAAATACATTTAAAGAGTATCCAATATATATTTATATATATTTATATGATATATACAAGTCTAAAATATATTTATATATACTAGAACCACATAAGGATATTAACATCCTCAACTTAACAACTACGATTAAAAAAACTATTTAAAAAAATTCCAGGAACAAAAACCATCAATTGTTTTAAAGAAACTTAAATAATAAAAAAGGAACATTTGTTTTATAGATAAAAACAAGTTTCTCAGTCTTGTCAGTGTATACAAAAATGTTAACATACATATATATATTTTATTTAATATCCTACATTTCTACGAGGTAGTAGGTCATCATGTGTTCATTGAAACATTTTAACTAAAACACATGTAAAACAAATCAAAATTTACATATTTATTTATATCACAGTTCTGGGCTGTCCATTTTAATTAATACTGATATGTATGGAAACTTAAAAAAACATTTCATGGTAAAATTTTGTATAAATGGTAAAATAAATGATTAGTCTTAAACGGGTCCTGGCAATTTCATAAAACAAACAATAAAAATCTCAAAAAACTCGGGTAAAAAGGGTCACGAGACACAACTTTCAACCTATTTCTAAAATACATCTAATACTTCAAAATATCAATATTCAATTAAAAATCATTTTGTACTTTTTTCAAAAATTCACGTTTCGATTAGTGGAATGGATTTTTCATTAATAATTTAAACTTTCTCAAAAATTATTGCTACCTTGGCACATGTAATATAAATAGCACTAAGTTTTCACATTACCCTGAGATGGAGCCTAGGGTCAATCTCCATTTTTTTGTAACTGGACGCGAGGGCCTTTTTCTTGTGAGTCTCAGCGTGTTTCAACATGTGATCCTTCCTGATAAACCCTTTCCCGCAGAAGTCGCAGGCATAAGGCTTGTCACCCGAGTGCAGGCACATGTGGCGGCGGAGGTCCGTCTTGTGGTTGAACTGCTTGGGGCACATCTCGCACTTGTAGGGCTTCTCCCCCGCGTGCTTCGACAAGTGCTCCTGGTGCAAGTACTCCGCCGTGAACCGCTTCCCGCAGCGCTGGCACTTGAACGGCTTCTCCCCCGAGTGGAAGCTCTTGTTGTGCTGAGTCAGGTAGCAGGCTTTATTGAAGGTTTTATCACAATCGACACACTTGTGCACCACTGTTTGTTCGGTCGATGTCACTTCCGGCACCTCTAGCTCTTGCACGGTGGCCAATAGCCCCCCCACACTCGAGAAACCACTTATCGAGCTCTGAATATGAGCGAAACTCGGAAGCGGCTCATTGAAATTCGTAGTGTGGGGGGGCATTCCATTTGGGTACTGAAAAAAATCCTGAAAATCTTCTTGTGGCTCCGGTTGAGGCGGGAATTGGAACTTCTCCTCCAATGGTGAAGTTTGAGGTGGGTGGTGGTGGCTGCTCATCGGCATTGTCGCTGGGTCCATAATCCCGCTTTGTTTGACAGCGTTTTTATGCAGTGTTGTGTTATAGTGTCTCTTAAGGTGTCCGGAACTAGTAAACCACTTATTGCACGCACTACAGTTATAAGTTTTAGGTCGCCGCGCTTCGTTCGATTTCCACGCGCCGCCTCCTCCTCCTCCTCCTCCCTTCGTCATCACGGGATATTTAGGCAGCTGGGAAGAATTCAACTGCATCATTTGTGGCTGTTCGAAATACGCCGGCACTTCTGAGCTCGTAGGCGAAGACATGGTGGTCGATACACTCGCGAAATCCGGTGACTGATTCCCATTTTCCTCCTTGAAGTACCTCCGATCTAACCACAGATTCTCTTCTCCTTGGGGTTGTTGGTAAACTACTTTATGGGAATCGAGATCGAGGATTTCGGCCTGCTGCTCCTCTTTGATGAATTCGAAGAATGTAGGATGAGCGGTAGCGTCGTGTTCGGGGAGCATACTCTGGTCACAGATGAATCCGCACTTTTCGCACTGAACCTGGGTACTGGTAACCATTCTTTCAAAGGTGTAGGGCTGGTACCTGTACGATGGCCTCTGCTGGATCCTCTGGAAGGCCGAGTTGTTTTCCGAGTAGTCGAAGAACTGGAACTCGGATGTCTCCGCTGCTGTCGGCGTTCTGGTTTTCTTGACATTGTTGTTGTCCTCGCTACCTGAAGCCGTCCCCCATTTAGTTACTAAATTTTCTTTATGATAATGAAGATGTACTTCTAAGGACTTACTTGAATCAAAAACGAGGCCGCAGTCGTGGCAGTTGAATGGCGGAGACAACTGGAGCTGCTGATGGGGAGAATGGAGCTGCTGATGGGGAGACTGAAGCTGCTGATGGGGAGACTGGAGCTGCTGATGGGGAGACTGAAGCTGTTGATGGGGAGACTGGAGCTGCTGGTGCGATACCTGGAGCTGCTGTAGTTGGTGTTGGTGTTCCATCACTGACAGCCACGGAGGGGAAAATAAAAGAAGAAATAAAAAAATAAAAAAGGTAAAGTTCGTATAAAGAGTTGACTGTTCGTCACATTCTGGGGAAGCAAGAGCGACCGAGCTGTAAACACTAAGACGTGAGAAGGTGGACTGACTACGGAAGAGGAGCCGGGAGCCCCACTCGGGTCGCACCCCCACCCCATCCCCACTCCCGCCCCCCTCCCCTCCACCGGTCCCCCCGTCCCCACTCCCGTGCCCACCCACCCCCTCGATCTTACATCCTACCACAATCCCTAATTATCACTCTAACCCCTTTAAACTATATCCAATACATGTCTTTTACAATTCCTTAAATACTTATTTATTTATCTTCATAAACCTATTGTTATTATTTATATTTTTTTTAGATTTAGAACTTTGTTTCATGTGTGGCTATCAATAACTATTTCTCTTGATGTATGATTTGAGATATATTTAATAATATTTGACACGATTGTTCAATATATATCTTTGTTCCTACTTTTTTAATCTAACTGTTATGTATAATAATAAACTTCAGTGAGGCAACAGTCACTGAAAAATAACAAATTTTTCTTTGAAACCAGCATATAATATATTTAATTTATTTTTAACATTTAAGAAAATTAAGTAATAGCTTATTAAATATATAAAATATTTATTTAGTTTTATGTTGGTGGCTAAAGATTAGATAAAAACAAACATGAAGAAATTATTATAATTCAACTGACAACCAATCTCCTATTATTTGTATGTATCAGTAATCTTACAAAAAATGTTGGTTTATCACTTTTTCTGGCTTTCCTCTACATTACAACTCATTATAAATTCCTGAAGTTTATTACAATTTTATATTCAATATTATATTTTTATGATACGTAACACATGTTATTGTTATCATAAATAACTTTAAAGAAGAAGCTTCAATCATTAAATGTTTGTTGAGATGCCTCGATGCGTGTAAGGTCTAAATGATGATAGGCGGCAATTATTGTAATGATATATAATTAGTGATATCCATTTAATATTCCATCCCTTCAATAATCTCGGGGAATATGTGAGTGCTATTAGTGCACCTCACATACAATTACGTACGCTTCAATTATTTGTCATTCGAACCTACTTTTTAAATTGTTTAAAATTGTATTTACAGTAATGCTTAATACCATTCCTTTTATTGATCCGACAAATACCTCGGCTTTGTTATAATTATTAGTTAAACAAGCATGTTTTAGTTGTATTACCGTAGATTAAAAAAAAACAACCAAAATGTTCTGTGAAATCTTAACTACAGTATATTTATGCAAATTTATTAAAACGGAACAAAAGTCAATTATTTCATTTTTAACAAAATAAGTGAAAACATAAATTTGTAACTATTTGATAAAATAATTATTAATAAATGTGAAGACTCAAGTATTCTTTTTTTTTTTTATTAACTAATATATATGAACATTGGTTTAATGCATATAAAACATTGGTTGCATTGTATAAGATATTCAAGATATAAAAGTTAAAAACTCTATTCAAGGATTTCTTCAAAGTATACATTATAATTCACCTAATACGAAAACATAATTTGACGAATGCTAATCAAATCAGACAAACGAAATGTGCGTTAACATGAATTCTATTTTACACACCAATGCAAAAAAAGAAAGAAAGAAAAGATGCAGTTGATAATTATTTAGGAGAGATAATTCTTTGGATAATTAGTCTATTCCATTTGCATTTAACAAAATTATTAAAATAAAAAAATTATTTACTTTTTTAATTTTTTAATAAAATAAAATTTATGCTATTATGTATTTTATACTAAATAATTTATTAGTATGTAGTGGTGATTTTTTCCCCCAAATCAAGAGATTTTTAATTCATTTCATTACTTTCATTTTCGCTTCAAATTTATTAAGGGGAAAAAATCACCTATTAGCTATCTATTCCTAATTTATGTTGAATCCTTGTTATGCTTAAAAAATTCGTAAAACTAGTTAAAATCCGCATCATTACACTTTCACTGTTTCTGGCATGTTATTATGTTATGTCATGTAATTTATTATTTCATTTATTTACTAAATTTTTGTATATGAATTCATATGCTACTATATCAATCCTACTTTTGTTTACTTATAAGAAATGTTTTATGATTAAAAAAATATTAAATTACTTGCACCCATAATGCAAAATAGCAGAAAAATAAATAAAATAGTATTTAAGGAACCATTATAATTTTGTTGTACAGATCTTATTGTATGTTTCTTATTTGCGCAGAAAGGATTGCGTTAATTACTAACGCCATTAAAAATCAACATAAAAAATAAAATAAACCCTGCTATTCTATATTAAAATTATTTCGCTTTACCGGATATTGTTTCGAAACAACATATGATTGAACGAATGTATTAAGTGATTGAATTGCTGACAAGAAGAACTCATTTCGAAATCTTTTTTTTTTTTTATTTCTTAATGATATTTACATCTGTATTATATAAATACATTTAGTAAATTTGAACATATAGTTATAATGACGTGAAACACTTGTTAAGAAACTACCCAATGGTAGCGCTCTAATGATATGTCTACATTAGGAGATCATATGGCCGTCTTCTATTTTGATTCCTCGGAGAGTTATCAGGAATTGAAGAGGAAGCAAGGTTAGAAACGATAGGGTTGTGATGATTCAGATATTGGGTCAGATCTAAAATATTAAGGCCATTATAGATGGTTTTGTTTGTAAAAAAGTAGGGAGTATTGAGGATTTTACGAAGGATTTTGGATTAAAGGATTGGATACGAAAGGAATTCGATGGCTTATAGTGGAGTCCCACAGCTCAACTCCGTAAGTCCAAATAGGCCTTATTATGGTCATGTATATGAGTCTTTTGTGATTAGTTCGAATTTTAGAGCTTTTGTCTACTAAGTGCTAAAGTAATCGGAAACGTTGAGCGGTTTCTTATCGTTTCAATCTGGTATGATGTCGAAATCTGAAAAATAATAATAAGAAACAAAATAATAATAATTTAAAAGGCATAACCAGCTCAAAATTTTTAAGTGATCGTGAACGTCCTCTTAAAGGCTTTATATATATATATATATATATATATATATATATATATATATATATATATATATATATATTATATATATATGTTCAACTCAAACTGTTTCTGGAGATTTTATTTAGTAATGTTCAAGTTGAATCATGAAAATAAATCATAAAATTTGGTTTAAATTGAAGTTACGTTACAAAAATTGGCCTTTTGCCCTTTTCTCAACTTTTTAAAAATTACAGATGGCCATATTTGATATGAAACCATTCCTATATCGTATGTTTGTTTAATTTTACTACATTTATAATATAATTGTAATTATACATTATAACTTATATTATACGGATTTAAAAGTTTGAAAAAAAAAATGAACAAATGATTTTTATAATTGAAATATTTACTTACCATGTGTGGAGTGTTTTGTTTTATTCAAGTTATCTTTTGTAAATATTATGTACGTATTATGGAATTACTTTCCATAGATATGTTGTATTTATTGTACGATCCTACGACATCTAGCTCCAATTTATTCAACTAACAACACTTTATGGTTTAGTAATGCGGTTTTTAAATACGTACATTTACTGAAGGAAATTACAGGTATAATGTACGAGTATACTTGGCTCACCATATTTTTTTTTTTTCCTCCTGTGTAGTAACAGTATAGAAGAGAAGTATATTTCACAGAAAATGTGTAAAAGTATATTATAAATTCATATGAAAGACATTTCACAAACAACGGGATACAGAATTATCCAACTTAACTAACAACGATACTAATCTCAAACCAAACTCTTTATTTTTTTCCTGTTGATACCGACACCAGATGAAAAATATCATAAAAATGTAACAAAAATACCTGCTTAGTGAATTCATCATTTATATATTGATTGTCCCATAGTTAGTAAAACGTACTGAAAAAAAGAAATTAAGTAGAAATATATGAATAGACAATACAAAATAGAATTACATCAGGAAGAAACAAACTTTTCATATATATATACAAACAAGTATCGATATAATTAAGGTTTACATTTTTAATTTAAAAGTATTTTACCTACCTAATGTGTATAATACATCCAAGATCTATTTCTAAGGAACTTTTTTATCATTGGTTTTTCTTACTGCTATTTATTTTCGGGTAATTTAGGAATTCTTGAATAAAATCAATAGTACCATTTATAGAGGTTTAAATTTATCTTATAATATTATCGATATAGTGAAAACGAAAAACAGAAAATTTAATTCAAATCATCGTGGACCATTAAAAGGCTGGCGTGTTTCGTTCAACTCAGTCCTGAATCAACTATTGAATTAATTTATTTGGAAGGAGGAAATCTTAAAATATATCTCGTGATCCCTTTATCCGCAATTAAAATTCATTGTGTTGCAATTGTGCCTCTTATCAAATTTGTTCTCTTGACGATGAAATTATAAAACTAATTTCTATAACTTGCAATTGCAAGTAAAGTGTAATACAGATTTTGTTATTAATAAATATTTGCTAATACCAAAACGAATTTACTTACATAATTAAAATCAATTAATCTTGTCATCTTGTCTCTTTAGTGGCAAAACATAGTCCTGGTTCCGCTTTTAAAAATGAATTCTGCTAGAGAACAGACGTGGGTATTATTTATTTTACATATTATTTTAAAATAATATGTATTTTGTATTTTTAAAATGCACTGTATTTTAATAACAAAATATTTAAATTATTTTCAAAAAGCATATTTCTAATACAAAATTCTAATAGTATTTTAATTGAAAATACTAAAATATTTTATGGTGGGGGATCACCATGAAATACATGGGTATCCTTTTTAATAATTTTTTTTTTACATTTTTTTGTTGACAAAATATAGTTAAAATATATTTTATTTTTTTAATTGTAAAATACAAAACAGTATTTTATTTTGTATTATAAAACACATTATTAGAAATATTTTTCAAGTCTGCTAAAAATGAAAATTGCAAGGATAAAATTTATATATTTCATTTGAAGAGAGAATACGGCATACAATATGGTACGTACAGTACATTACGCTTGA